TTTTGTGAAGAAAAATTAGATTTTAGATTTTTGCATATGTATGATATAAATTAGATTTTAGAATTTAATTGTGAATTATTTACGAATTTTGTGAAGACGTATTAAATAATTTTGCGTATTTAGAGGTGAAATTATCAATTAATGTGGAAATTAGAGTTACTACCTAAATGTAAAAATTAGTAACAATCAATATTTATTTGGCTTTTCGTGTAATATTGATATTGAATTTTTCACTCTTCAGAGGTAACGATGAATGATCGAATTGTAATTCTCTGTTCTTATGATGGGAAGATTAATTACCTCGAGAATAATATGCCCGTTTATGAAGGAGGCACGACGAGACCGTTGTTCATAACAAAATCGTGTACTTTCGATGAGTTGGTTAATGAATTACACAAACTTACATTAACTAACTCACGTGAGTATCACCTCAGTGTGGTTTGCAATTATCCTGTTGTGGAGAACAGAACAAGTGGCATTCAAATATCAAGTGACTACGATATGGGTCTCATTCATGTCTTACACGACGAGAAGCGTTCGGTCGAATTGTTCATTGAAAAACATCAGAGAGATTTGGGCAAATCGTTGAACTACGAAGGAATGTATTCCCGCATGTTGGAGGATCCTGAAGTTGATTCTGTAGGCTTTTTATCTCCTCAACAAGATGAATGTTGGACACAATCACAATACATGAGCGGTCCTTCGTTCGTGGGCACTTCGAATGCTTTCGATACTAACACGGGAATTCAAGAAGATAATGCAAGTGTTGAATCCGAGAATGATGATGAAGAGGAGGGATTACAAATTAATAGCATGACCGTGATAGATCGTGATGACGGGGAAATCCAACACATCGACGGGGCTTATGTTAATAATGAGTATGTCGGCTTAGAGGATCCGCCGCCCGATGAACTTCAAGGAGATGAATGGATTGATAACTCCGCGATGGAAAGTGTTCCTATTGGCACTAATAGCGGTGTTGATACACAGGCCGAGGACTTCTCATTCATCAAGGGAGATCTTTACGAGAGTAAGGAGAAATTGATCCATGCTATTCGCACGTATTCCATTGCAAAAAATGTGAAGTTCAGGCCAACCAAAAATAATACTACAAGCTATAATGTGGTTTGTTTCTATCGCAAAGATGACGATGTCGAAGATAATAGTGGACACCACGACGGCAATGCGAGGTGTCCGTGGAAGCTTAATTCACGCTCGGGTTCAAGAGTAGGTGGGCAATTCAAAATCACGGCATACAATGGACTCCACACTTGTAGCAATCCTCGATTAGAGATGAATAACAAGAATGCGTCCTCTTCTTTTATATATCGATTGATTTTACCGCATCTGAGGGAGGATCTTGATCTAAGGCCGAAAGATATCCGTCTTTTAGTGCATAAAGCCACCAACTTGGATGTATCATATCACAAGTGTTGGAATGCTAGGAGGAAGGCGATGATAAAAATATTCGGGGATTGGGATAAATCGTATGAGATCTTACCTCATTATCTTGAAGCACTCAAAAGAGAAAATCCGGGGACTGTCTACGAAGTATCTTCGGACCCCGTTGATGGCGGAGAACGGCGGTTCACCGGTGTATTTTGGGCATTTGGGCCCTGTATTGAGGGGTTTCGTCATTGCCGTCCTCTTCTTAGCATTGATGGAACTCACTTATATGGTAAATACAAAGGCGTTTTGCTTGTTGCAACCGGAGTTGACGCGGATGGCGGGTTGTTTCCTTTAGCATTCGCAGTGGTTGATGTTGAAAATACAGAGAATTGGGCTTGGTTTTTTGCATGCATTAGATATCATATCCCTAGTGTGGGGACGCGGCATATTACATTCATATCCGATAGGATGAAAGGAATTCCAAGAGCACTCCAACGACATTTCCCGCCACCCATGCACTCTGTATATATGCTCATATTTTAATCACAGGTCTATTCATTATGGATCCGGGACCGGAGAATCCCGACGTTTTGTACCTTCAGGCGAGTCATTGTTCAGACCATATTGGTTCGGGAGAGGTAATACGAATAAATTAGATATATATTTCTTCGATTAATGTAATTTTTTAATGAATATACTTAAAACTGATTCTCGTTTTATGTGCAGCCCGTACCAGAGTACACGATGATCGAGCATTCCCATAGTCATTCGGCATGGGTCATAGAGGATGAGAGGGTACTAGCTTTGATCGCTCAGGCCGGTTTTCGACCGTGTTCGACGATTCGTTATATCAGGCTTGATTGGCCGCTTATCACTGCTTTGATTGAGAGGTGGAGGCCAGAGACCAACACCTTTCACATGCATATAGGGGAGTGCACGATCACTTTACAGGACGTGGCCGTCATACTTGGGCTCCGGATTGATGGACCGGTAGTTACGGGCACCGACGATCATAGTTGGCCGGAGGTATGTGCCCGGCTACTTGGACAGGTTCCCGACTTGAGGAGTGGTGCGATGAAGCTATCGTGGCTTCGTCAGACATTTCAGGGCGACATACCAGAGGATGCCTCTGATGAGACGCTCCAGTTTCATGCTCGTGCATACATATTGCACATGATAGGGTGCGTACTATTTCCTGATGCGAGCAAGACTCTCGTACATGCACGATGGCTGCCACTGCTGGAGGATTTTGGTGTATGCGGGGCACTATCGTGGGGCAGTGCGGTGTTGGCATATTTGTATCGAGAATTGAGTAGAGTATCTCTGATGCAGAATAAAGAATTCAAGGGATGCTGTACGTTGATACAGATTTGGTCATGGGAGCGCATTCATATTGGACGACCCACTTTACTTATGCACCGTGACTTAGAGGGGCAGTATCCGTTGGCATACAGGTATAATTGTACACACACATATTTCATTCGTAACCTGAATATTTGTACTTATATATTCGCTATTCTGCATATAGGTATAACGTGCGATACGCTCAGTACAAATCAGCGACGCGTCACCGTCAGTTTTACCGAAATGAGCTTGATGGCCTCCAGCATGAACAGGTAAATATAAAACTCAAGAAGTATGAATATTATAGTTTTTCTGTATGATACTGATAAATGTTTTATTTTATTTCAGTTCAAGTGGAGACCCTATACACCGCCGGAGCTCGATATACATTCTCTTGCACCTATCTGTCGAGATAGTCCCGACTTGTGGAGAGCCAGAGTTCCATTGATCTGTTGGGAGATCGTAGAGATGCATGTACCGGACCGTGTGCTACGGCAGTTTACACTCTCTCAGCATATTCCAGATCCTGTCGAGCAGATCAATCGTCGGCGGCGCCCTACATCGCACCGGACTGACTGGGCCGTAGTCCGTGCGGACTACATAGGCAGGTGGGTTCAGAGGTGGGATTGCATACAGGATACGAGGCCCACAGCTGTTGACTATACCACGTATATGCGTTGGTATTGGGGTATCACACGTAGATGGATCACGCGTGACCCACAGCCTTTAGCTGGACACATGCCACGCCCACCGACAGATAGTTACATCCCTAGTGGGATGAACGAGAGAGATTACGTAAGTTTCTAAGCTAAATTATAATATTTTTTATTGAGTTGATACTTAATAAATTGTTTACCACGCAGGTCCGTGTTTTAGATAGCATTGATGCTGATATTGATGCGCACGTGACTGAGATTCAGGATCAGGTGGCGTTAGGTCTCCTCAGCAGGATCAAGAAGAGCATAGCGCAGGTGTTCCATAAGACTCACGCCGATGACGCCGGCACTTCGCATGCCGATGACGCCGGCACTTCGCATGCCGATGACGCCGGCACTTCGCATGCCGATGACGCCGGCACTTCGCATGCCGATGACGCCGGCACTTCGCATGCCGATGGAGCCGGCACTTCGCATGCCGATGACGCCGGCACTTCGCATGCCGATGACGCCGGCACTTCGCATGCCGATGGAGCCGGCACTTCGCAGCTTCATACACAGCCTGATACTCAGATAGTTGAGGCTCATCAGCAGGAACCCAGGGGGCGGGGAAGAGCGAGGGGGAGGGGGAAGAGAGGGAGAGGAAGGAGGGGAGCTATATTGGGTTGTATATGAACTTATTTTGATAAATTTTGTAACTTTCCTGAATTTTCAAATACTGAACTTTTGAAGATAAATTGTTGTTCATATACATAATCGTGTGTGTTTAATTCATGGTTGAATCATGTATATATTGTTGTTTGCAAATAAATTGGCATATATATGAGTTATAATTCATTGTGGAATCATGTATATATTGTTGTTTGCAAATAAATTGACATATATATGATTTACAGGTAAATATACAAAACCTGCACAGAAGCTGTGCACGCTGGGTGACCTGCAACTTCACGGGAGTTGAAATCCCGTGAAGTTGCAGTGCCAAATTTCCAGAGACTCGATCTCTGGCAAATTTTCGACTGTAACTCCACGGGAGTTGAACTCCCGTGGAGTTTTAAGCAAAATTAAGCTTCACGGGAGTTCAACTCCCGTGAAGTTTAATTTCTCGATAAACTTCACGGGAGTTGAACTCCCGTGATGTTTCGGAGACTTTTTTTACAAAAACCGACCTGTTTTCAGCGCTGGGCTGAAAACAGGTCGGTTTTTGTAATTATTTTCAAAATAGGTCGTTTTTTACAAATAAAATGCTAAAAGGGTTGGTTTTGAAAATTTGTCCACTAGTATAGTGATAGCGGAGACATAATGAATCAGAGCTGAACCAAAATCGACACTCATTAAAATAAACAAGTCAATAGTATATTTACTCAACGCAAAGTTTAAGCTTGATTTCTCTATCGCGATGACGGAGCGGATCCACTAATTGCCATGGTGAAATAAGGAAGTGGAGACAGTACGTTAACTTCTATAGTAAACAGATCTAGTTGATCAAGCAGCAAACTCCGATCGCCTACAAAATGCTGCTCAAAACCAGTCGATTAAGTGATAATTAGAATAATCCATCAAAGAGAAAGCACAAAGAGAAGACGCGCGCACAAAGGGAAAACAAACTTCCATACAAATAATGAAAAGCCAATATATAACACCCAAGAATATGAATGGAGAACAGTACAATCAGCGTATCAGGCAGAGCATATACAAATGGATCCCAGTCATTACCGTACAAATTTAACCGCAACAACCCTACTTTCATTACACCAAAATCAGTAGCCATCAATGTCCTCAATCTCCGCCTCAACGGCAGTGAGAGAAAAAAAAAATTTCTAGCTACAGACGGAAAATTAAGGAGATACACAACCGATAAAATTACACAAGTGACTTATTCCTTTTCTCTTTCTCAATTGGCCGGTCCTTCATTGAGCTGCCCCAATCAGTACAAACAAAATCCGCAAATTGATATTAGCCAAAATCATATTCAATACGATCCCATGGGAGGCATGCCAAAGGGAGGCATAGGAGGCATGCCCATGCCACCCATCGGTGGTGGTGCTGGTGGCCCACTAAAGGGGCCGCCCATTCCTCCTCCCATTCCGGGCATCGGTGGTGCTGGTAATGCAAGAGGTAGCAATTGGGCATACATGTTCTGCATAAAATGCACAATTTACATGAGACATCAAGTACAGAAAACCAAAAAAGTAAGGGTTAGTTGTGTATAGATCCTTTGTACTATCAATCAACTGTGGACAGACCCCTAGGGTAAAACTTTCTGACTCTTTTACCCTCAGAGAGGGAGAAAACTGTTTTCTTACAAAAAGACCTCCTGGGGGAATCAATTTTTCACTCCGGGGAAAAATTGTTTTTTGACAAAAAGACCTCCTGAGGGAGTCCATTTTTCGTTAAGGAGATCTACCTGAGACAATAGAACAATGTTACATTAAACGTTGGGCGCTTCTAGGTGTCGGACGCGCCCAACGCTTAGTCGCCTAAGCGGGCGCGTAAGCGGTTTTTGGCGTTTTTTTTCTCGTCTAAGCGGTTTTTGGGCGTTTTTTTTCTTTCTTCATTTAAGTGGTGGTCGATGAGGTTTTGCTGAAGGTCGGAGGAGGTAGTGGAGGTGTTCATATTTGGAGGTTAATGGAGTTTGGAGGACGTGTATGCTACGACACATAAAATCACAATCAAGGCTTACAAGGTGCAATCCACGTAAGCAGACAATGCTCACCTAAACGTTCGTAATATCTAGGTGGGCAGCCTAAATACCGCCTAGGAGCTAGACGCTAGTTAGACGGCCTAGGTACCGCCTAGGCCTAGGCGTACGTCTAAGCGGACTAGGCGGAGGTTTTTTAAAACAGTGAATTAGAACCATGGGGTGATAATCAAGAGGTCTATCCGCAAGTAGGTCTGCCCAAAAAGCAACTATGGAACATAAAAGAAGTTAATCAATATTTACCTGTTGAGCGACCATGTCTTTCTCTTCCTTCTCCTTGGCTTTGTTTTCATTCACGGCTTCAAGCTTATCTTTCATTAACTCGTCCACCTTGCTCGTGTATTCTCGAATTAACTGCAATCACAAGTTGCCACATAACTCAGTTGTGAGAATAAGCGCTTGTCATTATGACGAATTGAACTAAAAAATTTGAAAGATGAGAAATTAATTGTCAAAGGAAAGCACAGAATTAAAATGTGATTATCTAACCTGTAGAAGGTATGGGAAAGTAAAGTCAAGCATATTGTTCGTCCAGGCAAGCTCTAGAGCAACATCGGGTCGGATCAAGTCATAACAGATGAAGAGACATGAAGCAAAACATTCTTTCTTTCCCTGCAATAAAAAAATCATCAGATATCTTTCAAGCAATGCATGCAGGATAAAGGATTCAGATGGTGGGATAATGATCCTAGCCAAACCCGCTAACCAAGAATATTGCAAGGTCCTTACGGTCAGCTAGGTTTTGCATAGACAAAAAATCAAAACGTTGTTGGTTAAGTATTCTTTATCAGCAGAGAATTTATAGCTTTCTTTCCCAGTACTAAAAAACTTCAAACAACACTGCTTAAAGGATACATGTCCACTGCTAAGGGCTGTCTTAATAAAAAATCAGATTCATGGCAAAATATCCACCGATGTTTTCTCGTCATGTGGAGCTCATGCATTTGGAAATTGATTTTAAGAGAACAGCAAGAACAAAAGAAAAGAAAGAACAAAGAAAAGAAATGCATAACAGAAAATGATTCAGTACTTGAAAATTCAAAATAATTATGCAAGAAAATAGTGGTTATAGCAAGCCTCTTTCTAGCAGGAGAGCAAACATATGTGTATGTACAAAATGGGCAGAGTGGAAACCAAAAAATTTATTTAAAACAAAACCAAATTGGCATCACACAGTGGAAGGTGACCATATCAAGGGAGGGGATATTGGAGAAATAATAAGAATAAAATGATAAGCTGGCAGCTAGGAATTGCTTCATTAAGGAAGCTTTTCTAGGACTCACTAGATTAAGCAATCAACTGCATTAACATCAATAAGGCAATAACCGTGTTTTTTATTCTGCTTGCAGTAAATTCCATGGAAAAGGAATAGCAGGCCAAGATATTGAAGAGAATGTAGAAATATCATGCAGATGAAATATGTGAAGTTTTCATGTCATAAGGAAGATGATAAATAACAAGTTAAAATAAATTACCTGTTCAATGAAATAAACAAGCAACTCCTCAGAGTGCTCCCTTTCACCAGATTGAGAGCACGTCTCCATAGCATCTTTGTACATTTTGTCCTTTTTGGATAGAGCAATGGACTGTTTCCATCTTCCAGCTTTCTTATAAATATACGCAGCAACCCGTCTCATTTCAAGAAGCTCATGCGGACTGTTTCCATCTTCCAGCTTTCTTATAAATATACGCAGCAACCCGTCTCATTTCAAGAAGCTCATGCTTTTCAATCTGCTTGCACACAAGAAATATAAATATACGCAGCAACCCGTCTCATTTCAAGAAGCTCATGCTTTTCAATCTGCTTGCACACAAGAAAAAATTACCATACAAATTTCCTGTTTGTACTTAGCAAGCTATAGATTCGCTATTTTAAAAAAATAGCTTCCACGTATTTACCTTCTGAGCGAGGCCTATCTGATCAAAGTTATCATGCAAATCAATGGATTCCCTTAGCCTTTCATAATCCTCTTCTTCAACATAGATTTCATTCAAAGCTTCATTCACAGCAGATACATTATTGCTCTGTACCGCAACCATATATGGCTTCACAAGATGCAAGTGACCAGCCTGGTTACAGGAGAAAGGGCGAATACAAATGGGTTAGCATGAAATATTTAGCTTGTGATTGTAAATAAATCTACCACAAAAAAAAAGAATTTTCAAAAGCACTACAAAAAATCATTTGATAATATAACTCTGAATTGAAATAGGATAGGAAACGTGCTTCAAATTAGTAATGTATAATTTCACTGAAATATAGATACAAACCTTCCGCATGATGTCCACAACACGTGTATGATCCACACGAAGAGCAAGAACATTAAGCATGTCATTTATCAGATCAGGATGCTCCTGCAAGTAGAAGTGCACTGCCTTGTAATAAAGCTCAACATTTGCCACTTTGACAGCAACATCTTTGAACTGCATGTGATCCCACGCATCTGGAGAGTGGTTCATGATAGTGGTAGCAGCATTGTCAAATTCATCATACTGTATATACAGATATGTAAGCTCCTTCCAGTGCTGTTGTTCATCACAAGCACGGATAAGTTTAGGAATGTTAAGACGCGTTGAGAACAGCTTGATGTGCTCCATAAGTTTCTCAGGACGGTATCTGGCATATAAGACTCCTAACTCCGTGAAAATACCCATGTGAGCCCGCTCCAATCCAAGGCCACTCTCCATAAGAGAGATCAGTTCATTGAAACATCCTCTGTTCTGGTAATAATCACTAACTTCTTCCAAGTCATCCACCTGCAACATTGACATGAGGTTAAAGCTACTAAGCTATAAATATGCAATATTAAGGTCCTGAATGAGAACCAACAATGATTAAAACTAGAAGAAACATAATGAAAGGGATGCAGGCGAGAAAGATCACCTGTACTATAATATTGAGACCACAGATTTGGGCCAACCGGAACTCTTCAGCATCCACACAAGCAAAGCAGACCTCCTTCCATGTCTTTGAACTGTTTGCTTTGCGAGCTGCATCAACTGCGCCTTGGAACTGTTTCAATTTAACAAGTGTAACAGCCAGTTTGGCCCAGTTTGAAATGAATGCAAATATGATCTTTGCAGCTTCATATAGGGCTTCATCATACAGACGATCACCAACATTTTGGAGATTAGCAACATTTGGCATAAGGATGAATTCCTCTATTTCACTCAACCTATCAATCTTAGCATATGCATATATGAGTTCACTATCCACCTTTGGCTCTTTAGTTTTCTGCCTGACCATCAATAAGTATTTAACCAAGTCATGGTACACATCAGCATTTTCAGCAGCCTGAATAACTTCTAAGAAATGGGTTGTGTCATCTGCACGAATAAAAGACTCAATTGCATCACTAACTAGCCCTTCCCGCAGCTGGGCCTTCGCCACCTGACTCCAAACTGCTTCTTCTTCAACACGGAAAGCAAACTCCACCGCCCGATCTATGTTCTGAATGTTATCCAGAAGAACATTGACTGCTTGGACATTCAAATTGAACTTCTTAAAGATAGCGAAGGCTTCCTCATACAGTTGTGCTTCAACAGCAACTTCTCCAACAGCAGGTCCATCAAAGTTATCCAATCTATTGATGTAATCCATAACCCTCGATGCATCTGCTTTGATGGCAGTTAATATCAGCAGATTTTGCAGGTTGAAATTTCCACTAAAGGCAGAATTTTGGAGCACGATCTTCTCAAGCAGTTCAATCAATTCATGAGGAAGATCAGCAGTCATGAATGCTTTAACAGCTGCAGATACTTGTTCAGGGCTCTTGCTTTCAGGTAAAGCAGTAGAAACAACTTGATCAATAAGCTGTCTTCTATACTCATTGTCAGGAAGAAGCACTTTCTCCCAGAGATCAGAATCCATCCTCTCCACAACATATCTGAAATTTGAAAGATAAACTATAATTGTAACAAAGAGCAAAAGATTAAAAGTTGGCGAGAAACCATAAAACAGAGGAAGCACAGAAGAGAAACTCTAGGCCATATTGTTATAGGATGCATACCTGGCCTGCAATTTGAAAAGAGAGTTCTTGTTCGTAACATTAATAAGTTCATCATCACATTGCCCTCGTCTGTAAGCAACAACTGCGAGGGTTGGATCCCGCTTCTCACAATATTTACCCACAACACGTGAATCGTAGTATGGGTTGGTGGTGAGAAAATGCTCTGGATTGTTATTGCTGTCGATGATAATTTTTCCCAATGCATTGTGAACATGTACATCTTGGCTTCCTTCACTCACAAGATGTTCCAGAAATTGTGTGAGCAACCGAAGACGATTCCTGCAGTAATCAAGGCAGATAGTGAGAATGATATATACCCCAGAGAAAGCATTATGGAACAGGTAAAGTGCTGTGTTACAAACCTCTTCTCGCATTCATCGACAAGGGGCTCTACAGGGAGGAGAGAACGGACTGAAAGAATAAGACCTCTGATAAAATCTTCAGGACACTCGTCATCTAGCAGCTGGCCAACCACCAAAGGAGCATTGCTTGGGTTTACCTATCAAAAGACATACAACCAATTCTGGTAATTTTAGCACTCTTGAATATTCTATCAAAAACATCTTAGATGTGGTTTCACCCTCAAGCGAAATAACCATCAGAGCTAAGGTATACGAGGCTGATTTATCTTTGAAGACAGATGTACCTTCTGAACATAGCCTTCAATATATCGAAGCATGTTGTTTCTGTATAAATAGTGGGTCAAATCAGGAACAAAACCGAAACGATCACAGACATTAATAAGGGGGCGTGCATCTGGAAGCTTGGCTTCCATAAGGAAATTCTTTGTCTTCTCTGCATCATAGAAATTTGATTCTCTAGTTACCCGTTCAACTTCTTTAATCTGCCCAGTTTTAGCTGCTGCCTCAATATACTTGAAATGTATATCTGGATCCTCACTGTTACGAATAAAGAAACATAGGTATATCATTGTCTTTGCCAGTTCAAAAAATGAACCAAAAATTACGGCCGTAGACCTGACGCGGGTGACAAAGTCCCACTGCATTCGGGTTCAATCATCTATAGTTGGCGGGTGATAAAAATTACCTGGAGCTGAGATACGATCCAAGAAAGAAGTAAAGGCCTTCGTAGGACTTAAATTGCTCAAAGAGTTTGATGCAAGCATCAACACCCAACTGCTCAGAATACTCTTTGGCAGTCTGCAAGACATATCCATTAAGAACTTCTAATGCATAGACTTAAGGAATGGAAAAAACGAAATGAAGTACATGAAGTTACCTGCACGATTATCTGAAGGTTTCCTCTTAGATTTACAAGCAAGAGGTCTTTCATGCACTCTAGAGCCCACTCCTTTGACAGAGTCCCAAAAAACTCCACAAGAGCCTAGAAACAAAATTAATCAAATTTAATTCCGCAAACAAGAAAAATGCCGATTGATGTGGACAGCAACAACGAACCTGTGGCTCAATTGCATGAGTATTCACAATAACACGCTTAATATCAGGCAATTCTGAATAATGCTGCAGTGATGACATGGTGTTATTCCCATATGTCTCCAAAATAAAGGGCAAAAATTTAGTTCACAGATGGGGATGAAAGTTCAACCTGAAGAGCACGAATATACAAGCCAGCCTTTTCACATAGCTGACCTATCCTAGGACGGTCATAGTGACTGAACATTCCGTTAGCTAATATAGCATCTGCAACATTTGGGTACGTCACAAGATTGATCTCCAACACCTGTTGCAGTCCACAGAAATAAGTTCAATCATGGCCAAGATGAATATTATAGGAAATTCATATTTCATGGACATCTCACCTTTGTTTGAAGGAAAGCATGTTCTGGCAAATTAGGCTTCAAGACGTCCAACAGAAATGCTGTTGCTTCCCGGATCAAGTTTCTCTGCAGTACAAACACCATATACATAATACATCACTACAGCTGCAATATGCAAGTCTAGGGAGTGAGCAGACATTATCAGAACTTATGCAATAAAAATCTGCAATTAGGAGCATAATGGTGTCCAACTAAAGATTACATAAGATATAAATGAAAATGATGGAAGCAGTTAAACCTGAAGAAAGAGGTCTGTGATAGTATTGTAATCAACTGGACAACCTCCCTCCATTTGCGACATCATAAGAGCAAAATTCACTGCACCCTGCCAAAAAATATTTGTATTGAGACTAAAGCCATGTAGAAAAGGAAAACAAACAGAACACGTAGCATTTCCCTCTCTGGGAGAGTGCCTTAACAAAGGAAACTTGTAGATTAAGTTATTCAAAAAATTAAAAGTTTTAGCAATAGGATATGAATGTGCTAGTAATATGCAAGAATTGTGCATTTAGTAACAAAAATTGAAATTAAAATACCTGAGGGTCTGATCTCAGAATGGTTTGGAGAAGGAAAAGATAATCTGGTGTGTATCCAACCTGTACCAAATAATGAAACCAATCCACCATGAGTCCAGCATCAATTATAAAATATTCATATAGTAGGTATAATTTTTCTACGACAAGTACAATAAAAAAAGTCATCTTGACATTATCTGGTTATGACAGTCACCTGCTTCGAGTATATAAGAATCTTGTCAAACTCCCTTCTTTCAGCAAAAGCAGCAACAACTTTCGGCGTAGCTCTTGCTTTTATGTATATTTTCAGAGCGAGGTCATTGTCAACCGTCTATAGCATAGAGGGAGAAAACGAATGAGAAATGACAGCAATGCCAGAAGAGAAATAATTTTATCATCAAGGCATTCAACTAAAAGTATAGTAGAGGAAAGTTCAATTCTTACCTTTACTAGATCACCTAGTTCTTCACTACACTCAAGCTTATCCTCAGCCAGCCAATTTTCCAAAAGATTCTTCTTATTCTGATTCACCACCAGACGAGATAACTCCAAAGATTCAAATGCATTGAGTTTTCCCTTTGTCAACAGTGTCCCAAAGTATTGCAATAGTGGTGGCGTTTGCCCAGCTTGTACAGGAACACTCTGCATTATTCCAGAACAGAAAGGAAAAAGAAATTGAAAACATGCAAGAATAGTTTGTCTTCAACAAAGAATTACAAGAAATATCCAGTACTTTTTACAGTCTCCATAACACATGTAGGCCAAGTGTAAAAAAAATTGGTCTAGATGGACAACCCCTAAGTGATCCATGTAAGCCACTCCACTACAATGAAGCTCCCTATGTGGATCTAGGAGCATAGGAGTACCAGTATGGGCTTACACTCCCCTGGCGTTTTCAAAAACACTGTTTAAAACAGTGCACAGTACTAAAACATCTTAAGTAAGGTGAAAATAGGAAGAAAAGAGAAAATTAGCTAAACTTGGAGTCGAAGGGGAAAAACTGTTGCAACCTTAAAAGAATAGCAAGCAGGGTGGCAATGAGACAAAAACCTGAAATTTGGCAACGGTCTCAGGAGTCCTTAGAATGCCTTGTGGAGATTCAGCAGCAAGCTCAGCAGCCTCCTTATACTTTGTCTGTGAAAAGAGTTCTTGGAACCTTTGGACAACCTAAAATGCAAAAAAGACGATGAACAAGAAAATCAAATAAATATTACAGGAAGCAAGTGGGTGCCCATCTAACGATTAAAATATCAGTATTAACTTGGAAAATATCTTAGCTTGTCAATGTGAAACGGCATTGTGCAAGTAAATGTGACAGGCTCTTACAAAGTATCAACGAATGAATAAATATTAAATACAAATAACAAATCATAAGATTGCTATTGTAAATTATCGATGAGCATGAAAAGTGGACTGGGTAAGAAAACATCTAAACCAGCTGTAGCAACCTTTAAATAAAATGCTGAATATATGAAAAGGTGATAAGTCTCAAAGATTACAAAAGCATGAGACCATCAGAGGGGTACCTCTGAATTTACTCATAGAATTTGCAGTTGCTTATCTTAAGAAAAGGAAGAGAAATTTAACAATTCCATAACTCTGGCTATTCAGAACCGAGGATAATGAGCACTGACCAGATTCTCCGCTCCCGGAAGATTTCCTCGTTTGGCAAGGTTAACGGCAAGCTCCAAATTGTTCAGCTATGACAGTTAGCAGGAGATGATCCCCAATGAGAAATTTATCCCATGTAGTGGCAGACAAATGAATATTGAAACAAGAAAGGAAAAATTACCTGACCGCTGACAAAAGGCACAATAGTTGCCTCATTAACAGTTGCAAGCAGAACCTGCCCTCTTCTGTTAATGGCATAAAAACCACCAATAGACGAAGCTTCTGCTGTCAGAAATATAGGATCCGGACTAATCCGATTTCTGTAGACTGCTGTAGCAGTCTCCAGATCATAGACAAATAGGAGACCAAGTTTTGTGATAACATATATCAAGCCATATTTGTGAGAGATCTGCCGAATAAATCTATAGGATCAACACTTTGAGAATGTAACACTACTTCATTTCCATATCAAGTAAAAACATAGTCTGCTAAATGTGTTACCTGCATTGCTACAGGGAAGTCATCAGCAAAATCAGGTGGAAAAAACAGATCTGCTTGTTTCTTTGAAAAGCCCGGTTTACCTGTAAAGATAAATAGCTCTTGAGGAACACTCAAAAATGAGAAACAAAGTTTTATTAACAAAAGCATCATTGGACTTCTCCATAAAGAGAGGGCAAGCACGTTAAGAGAGGGCAAGCACTCTAAGAACAAAACTACACAAAATGGTTGGGTAAAAATGTTGATTACATTTCCAATCTCGCATGAAACCAGGCATTTATGTTGTCAAGCTGGTGTCTATGGAATAAGAACGTGCTATGTGTGCTTATAACAGTATGTAAATTTACAAACCAGTCTCAATCATGCATCTTCCAGTTTTTCTTTCCCCCTTATAGATTCCATTTGTGCATCTAATCAAGTATATAACTTTAAACATCAAAGGGACTATCCGACAGATAAAATAAACCAAAAAAGATAAAAGATCCCGCCACAATGCTTTTCAGATCTATCAATTTTGAAACACAAGATGAAAAGTTTATAGCATGAAACGGATGATTAAGGAATTGTGAACTATTTTGAGATAATATGTACAAGGATATAAAAGGGGTACCTGGCTGGGCACCAAGCTCAATCACGTGCAATTTTGACGTAACCTGTCCAGCATTGGTAGTCTTTGAAGCAAAGCAAATAAGAATAGAATCCTTATCATTTCCAGCAACCTGTAAAAAGCAATAAATATGAAATATAAACATAAATAATGGCAGAACGAAGATAAAAGAAAAACAATGTATGCATCAGGTTGTCGAAGTTGAAGATGGATAATGTGTCCTCACCTTAATTGATGCAAATGAGGCAGCATGTGCTTCTAGCGCCTGGCTACGCTGCTGATCAACAGAAAAAAGCTGCATGTTTCCTTTAACCAGCTGTGGTCTCTACATAAAGCAAGGAGGGTGGGGAAATAAGAAATAATACAAAGGATGAACATTCAAAGACCAGTAAAAAGTGAAGAATAGAAACAAAGGGAATGTTCACATGACACCGGAATCATTTTTACTGAAATATAAAGCCAAAAGAATGTACTTTGGTTAATGCTCGAAGAACATTTTTCACTTTAAGACTTCAGAATAGTTAGAAGTTGGCACTTAACTAAACATTGTCCAAGATCAACATATTGATACTTTCGCTTTAAAACTTCAGCATAGTTAGAAGTTAGCGCTTAACTACACAATATCCAAGGTCGACATATGTTGATATTAATTGCTCATTCCTTGGACTTCAAATTTTTGTGTCAAACAGTTATTTCAAAAGTTTTGGGACCTGTAGGCTTCGAGGCCCATATAACACAGGTCACCTCAGCTATTCTACAAATGTTAAGAAATATCTAGAAGAATCACATCATGATTGGTTGATATTATACAGGCAATCAGTACAAGATCAAGATTGTTCTCAAATGTCATCACCAAAAGAGAGGATAACATGACATATCACAGGCATTCACTCTTCCATCACACTCTCAATGCTTCTAGCCTCAAGGTGGAACAAATGTCACTTTAAATTGGAGCCAACCAAAATGGACACTCAGCCAAACATTGTATCTCAGGATAGGATGAAGTAGAAACAACGAACCACCTGATTGAAGCAATTTCTATGAAGAAGCATAAGCCCTGTCTTCGATTTTCCTCCTAAATGATGCCATGCAGGCGGATTCAGAAAGAATATGCCCCTCTCGTCCACATCAAGCTTTTTTTACATTTAAATTTGGGATGGGTGGAGAGTGCGATAAGTGACTGATATCAGACAAATTTTTGTCAGTAGCGGACATCTCCTAAAGTGGAAGGGGCTATTTTGACGAGTGGGATGTATCCTTTTCTTAGATGAATCTGAGTATCAATCCAGATTACATGGAGGTAGGGCACTGATGTCCTACCTCCATGTAAAACTTAAAATATGCATGCTTTCAGCCAAAATTTCCTTTGTCTCATTAAAATTTAATGTTGTTCCACAGGAATAGAATCAATCCCATACCCTCCTTCACCTATTAACCTGCTCTTCGAAGCGAGTGAGAGCACCAGGAAGAGCAGATAGGTTATTTATTTACTTTTTTGTACTAGAATTAGCGTACTTGTAAAGAAAAAAATTAGTAGGTCATCTGATCCTAGATAACAATAAGCAGGGAAGAACCTTGCAAACTTGTTGTGGTTGCCTACACAAATCCTATCTCTCATCTCATGCAACAGATCCCACCACCAACTCCTCGGATGAAGGTGAGATTGTTGGTGGTGATGATGCTACAGTTGATGATGGCAGTGGAATTGATGAATTTACTTCTAATATTTTCATTTCAGATGGTACATCATAAAATCTTCAGCTGTGGATTTGCACCAAAGGGACCGTCTAGTGTCCACCAGGCTTCCCACCCTATGCATAATATTTCAAGGATCACCTATCTGTGCATGCACTGCTAAACCACTTCTATAAAGAACAAAGGCCTAATAAGCATAGAGCTGAATGAGGCATATAGATTGGTGGCATTACCCAACTGCAAAAAACTCATGCGTTTAGGCTGGTAATAGCCAAAGCCCAATACTGTAGCTTGCAATGCAGAAGCAGCAACAGTTTTGGTAGTTCAAGAGGGTAGTATCCTGTGTCCGCTAAACTCTAATTAGGTGTATGAATGTTCGCTAAAATGTTTGATGCGTTAAATTCTAGTGCTATCTGAATCACAGTAACCTGATGTGTTTCAAGTCTGCATGTGCATATGTAAGAGGGGTGGGGGGGAGGGAGTTAAATTCCATACTATGCCAAAAAATATGATAAACCAATGCTCAATAAAATAAGAATTGATTATTTTGTCCGGATTTCTCTTTTGCTTCTTTATTTTGGTGGGTAGTGGTGGTACACTGGCCATAAGACTTGCATAATTAAATAATACAGACTATTGTATCATAAGACCTATCCTAAGTTTTGAGATAATACGACATTGAAGTATAATTCACATACCTCAGGAGCACCAGGTGCAATTCCAATCAGAACTAGCCACTTTTCAGATGGGTCACATCGGTAATTAATAATCTGATTATTTGCCAAATTAGCTGTTCTATCAAACATCTTCACAGGCTCAGAATCACCTGAATTTGTACCACAAGAGTTTAGCAGAAAATGATACATATATCAGATGTTAAACAACTTGATAGGTTACCTGGAGAAGGATAAGCAATACAACTCTAAAATGACAAAAGTAATCATTACCTTCTATAGACCAGTGGTATACTGATGACTGAGTGACCAATCCCAGCATTTTAGGAGTGATCCATTTCCAAAAAACAACCTGTGCAGTTCAGAAATTAAAATTAAAAAAAACAACAGCTCAGGCTCTTAAAGTAGAAAATGAAACAAAAACAAAAGGCTGACACCAATCATTGGCGTTGATAAGCACGTTGATAGATGGGCATATCCAGTCATAATATTACCTGTTCGGGCATCTGATGTGATTTAATTTTGGTCTTCAACTCAATATTGAATATCTGGAGATGATCCTGGGTAGTTCCGGGTATTTGGGCTACATATGAATAAAATAAATTTATAAATAAATAGAGCACGGTATATGCAGGAACATGTTATGGCATACTGAGAAGGCAATGAAATAACAAAATTGTGTCCTGTGTATACAATCATGTGTCAACTCAATCATGCATTATTAAATCCTGATCAAATCGAAATGGGGACCAGGATTCAAGGCTTGATTTTGAAATGATGTGCTGCAACTTCATGGGAAACCCATGAAGGGTGAATTATGGCAAAACTTCGAAGGCACATCAGCAAACAGTGAAGACTACTGTAAGGTCATCTAATTGACAAATAAACCTCAAGAACTCTCCTAGCCTAAGAAATGTACTCGAAAAATTTGGAGCTGATTGTTTCAGTATGGGTAATTGCATTAATCCACGAGCACAATAAATATATTCTTCGTCATGTCAAAATGTTATATTGCAAAATCTATAATCCAATTACTAGAAAAACAGATAATGCAACAGAATAGTAAAGAAGAATAATAAAATATGAAAGAAGCGAAAGGAACCTTTAAGAGCAAGAATTCTGCTGTTGGGATTCATCAAAGCTGAGTCAGCAGTAATTGGCCTTCTCAACGGCTGATTCGGCATGCCCATATCGATAATAACTACGCTGTTCTGTGGAGATGTCTCCCTCACGCAAATATATTTATCAGATTCCATGGTTACGTGAGTAAAAGTGATGAATTGTTGGTTGATCCCAACAGTCGGAAGCTGAAACAAATCAAAAGTAGTCATTTAGACGTACAAACATAGCAAAAAACAATCAATTTTGGCGCATTTCAACATTTCCAAGCTAAAGCCGATACTAGAATTACAGTGAGCGAGCGTAAAACTAAAAAAAACCCCTAGATCACGATAAAACCAAATGGAATCACGAGCTTCATCAGTAGATCTGAAGAGATCCGACACGTATCCCACAAATCAACCGGTGAATTCCCAAGATCCGCGCTCTTCAACCATTCTGAGCCCTAATTCCCTCTATTCAGCAGAAATGAAATCAAAGCGTCAAAAAGTGGAAGAGAACTCACCGTCAGGGCTTCCTTCATAGCGATCGGAGCACTGGCCGCAGCCATGGCGACTGGATCGGAGCTCCGAGTTAGGGTTTGGACGAAGAAATCAGGGTTCCAGAGAGTCGGACAAAGATTCCTTTAGATCTGAGTGGAACCCTTCCGAGCCCTCAATCGAATGAGAAAAGAGAGAGAGAGAGATCGAAGAAGAAGCGGATCTGAAGGGAAATTTATATTGTATTTAAGAAATGGGAAGCGGAGTGGGTCTTTTTTCGTTTCAGTATTTGTTTACTGATTTCTTTTTTTTTTTTTTTACATTTTACGCGTAGAACATCATCGAGTTTTGTTGGCGACTAATGAGAGGTGACCTGGAATTCTTTTTATTATAATAATGCCGTGGTAACGAGAATTGATGTGATCGGGAGAGATCTCAGATTGCTCGTTGATCCAACGGATGATATTCTCTTACGGACTAGAGTGATGCGGTCGTGTTATCAATATCAATGAACCTAAATGTTACATTATTATATTTTCGTTTGTTTCAAATCACCCCGCTAAACGTTCCAATTAAAAAAAAAATCCCACTGAAAATAATTGGTGGTGGTCCGACTCGTAACAAGCTTTCTGTGCAAAGTCAGTTTATTTATGTACCGTAACAAGTCTTCAAAATTAGTCCGTAGATCGCACCATACGCTGGTCATTCTTGAATAAGGTTCGCTACTTATTTAGTGGATGTTGTCAAGCGTTCAAAATGAATTGAAAGTGTGTCAAATTATTTTATTTTATTTTTACAAAGTGTAACAGTAAAAGTAAATCTACACCAGCGTGTAAGTAAAGTACGGTGTCTGTTAGCAAAGACGGTATTGTTGAGACTAATGGGGGTGTTTGGTTTAACCATTTTTATAGAAAATTATTAGGAAAAAACCAAAAAATGGAATTTTCGTAATTAAAAATTTTCTATAGATTTCTATAAGATGTGTTTGGGCCCAAAAAAATTATAAAGTAGGAAAATGAGGGTAATTTATAAAAATCAACTTCCTATCAAAATGAGCTGAAATTGGTGAGAAATCTAACAATTGGTATTAAAAAATAAATATAACTAACTCATACCCTATTTTTCGTCCCCATTACATTTCCCCGCTGTTGCCCCCCTCCCAATTCGCTTTCCCTCTAAAACTTTTCGCCACCTGCTATTGCTTTTGTCCCCATTTCATTTTGATGGCTTCTTAATCCGCGCTCATTAATCTAACTTGTTCATGGTTTTGGTGATGGATTCGGTTACGATAATGGAACTTTGTTGGGTTTATAATTTGTTGATCTTGTTCGAAGCTCCTCTATTTGTTTAGATCTGCTCTACTTGGGGGATTTGGTTGTTGATCTGCTCTTTTGGGGTTTTCGGTTGTTGATCTTACTCGGATTTGTTGTGGTTTTTGATCAACTCCTTCGAGGACAGCAATTTCACGCAGTAAGGTATAACTTGAAACTATCTTTTATCTATATAAATTTTCTTTATTGTTTGATATTCCTTAGGCTTAGTTCCCTGTGATGTCACTTAAGCCATGCTAATGCTGGATGATTAACTCATATTTTGGAAACATCTCTTGTGCTGTTATCACATTCTATTATGTTGTTTTAAGTTGTTTTGTGACACTATCAAGTTCTATTATGTGATATGTTGCACATCGATATTTGTGATTTCTTCTCGACTCTTTTATTTATCATTTTAGTTCATGTTCAGCGTGATAGTGGCATATTTGGATACAACGATGATTTACTAGAGAATATGAGTAGCATACGAAAGTTTTCAAATGAGCTCACTCTTGAGTTTAAGAATAGATTCCTTTCATAGTAGTCTAAGAAATTATTGGATGTTTTATGTGAACTTAACAATCTAGTTTTTTTTTAAAGTTGGAGGATCCCAACAATTAAAAAAGGTGTAGAGGTGGAGTGATTATTTACTTGCTTATTTATATTGGATTTTATGGCTTTTTCTAACTTTTTTAATTGAGACTTATAAACCACCTTGTTTTGTTACGCTAGGTTGCACGTGGTTAAATACCATAATTAAGTAGATTTGGTTTATTTTTTTACTAAAATTCGTTTCTCGGTTCCACTTTATTGGTTTTTGCTTACTTATAACTCTAAACTATAGCATTGTGATTATTTATTTTCTTTAATGTTTACTTAAATGGCTACATCCAATTTAAATTTTCATGTTGGTAATTGAATTGATAGGAAATAAATGTAATCCGAATTTAACTTGAATTATTATGTCATTGAGACCGACATGAAACTAAGTTTGACCTGAGAAAGTATAGTGTTGCAAAAGTGAAAAATACTTTAAAAAATAGCATTCTGAAAGAAAAATGAATAATTAAAGCTAATAAGACAAGATGATTGGTTAAAAGTGGGCTACAATGACACAAAATATAATATGGTGTTTGTTCTTAATCCTTGATAGACTTTAACAAATCAAAAATTAAAGATAAGTGCTAACCCTAGTACTCTTTTATATAATAAAAACATCCACATAAGCATATAAAAGCACTAAAAAGGTTTATGAAAATCTCTTCTAAAGATTCCTAATTTACTCAAAAAACTATTCTATAAAATATTTAGAAAATAGCGCATTTTATTCCTTTTGTTTTATTTTTTTATAGAGATGTTATCAATCATTCTTCACCTTTATCTTTTTGATAAAATTAGTCTACTTTTAGATATCGAAAAAATAGTAAAATCTTAAATTAGAAGTTAAATTTATATATCTTAATGAAAAAAATATCAAACTACTACTTTTTTTTGCTAAGTTTTGAAATTTTAGTCGTTTTTTGTGATTTTGAATTTTTAAGGATGTGTTTTGTAGATTTTAATACTTTGAGAGTGTTTCCTTCTTTAAAAAAAATTAAAATTTAAGTTGGATGCTTGTAATTCTATGTTTCATGTGGTAGTGGTAAGTTTTTAAATGTCATAACATTTCTTGCAACTATGAATTTTGAGGGTATTTTTACAATTATTGAAATTTTGGATTGTTTGTTATAAAATTTAAATTTTTAGCTGTCTGCTGATAATTTTGAGATTTGATATGTATTGGTAATGAGTTTTTAAAATTGAGGGTTTTTTGATAATTTTTTTGAAGAATTGTTTTGTATTTTTTTTATAAATTTGAGGTTATTTTTTACAATTTTTAAATTTTAATGCGTGTTAGTAATCCCTTGAATTCATCTTTGTTGTTTATAAGTTTTTAAAATTTTAGAATTTTAGGGTGCTTTTTTATTATTTAAACTTTTAAGGATGTTTTTATAGTTTTTAAAACATTAAGGATGTTGATTGTAAATTTTAAATTCTTCAGTGGCTGCTATTGCTTTCTAAATTTCATGTTTGTTGTTTTAAGTTTTGAAATGTCTGGATGTTTTGTGTAATTTTAAACTTTTTAAGGGTGTTTCGAGCAATTTTTGAAACGTTTTTGGTTTTTTTGTAATACTTCATATATTGTAGCATATTAGTTATTTACCTTAACAGACTGATACCATGGAGATATCTTATGTATTTTATTAATATTATTTTTTAAAATATTAACCTGTAAGTAGTTCACATTGGATTAGAATATGACATTATTATAATTATGATGGATTAAAATTTAAATGAAATATTCAAAATAGACAAGGATAATAATGAACATGAAAATATTTTCCCGAGCTTGTACTTTTAAAGGGAGTATGATAACGTTCTTAAAATATTTTTGATTTGCAATGAGTGTAGGCGGATGATGTAAATGAAGAATAAATAAAGAGGATGTGTGCTAACATGATCATTTCTTTCATGATTACAATAATAGCTTGCTCATTGGGAATGTGTGCTAGGTGCAAATCAATTTGTAATCACACAACAAAGGATAAAGACGAGGAAAATATTTTGCTGAAATGCTCACTTCAAGTGTGTCTTCAAAAGTTATAGTGATAGGCATATGTCTTATATTAGAATGAGTCCAAAAGTTTGTTTCATACTTGCGGATATACTGCGAGATAATGGTTTATTAAAGGAAATCCATTCTTCAAATGTGGGTTTCTGTGTATGCTAAGATAAAAAAAAGCAGAGTATTTTGATATTAGAGAAAACATAGTAATTTTGTAGGTTTTTTATTTTATGATTCTTTATTTTGATGGTGGTGCAAATGAAGAGTCACCAATATCTTTACATTGCTTACTCATAAATATTTTTTCCTAAGGTGAGCCTTCTTAACTTGGAATTTTTTTTGTTCATGGTAAGTTGAGAAGTAGAAATATTTTTATAACATTAATTTGCACCAAACTAGCCGTTAAACTAGACATTGTAAAGATTCTCGTATGGGTTGCACTTTTCCATAAATTTTTCATATCTAACCAAACAAAAGAAAAAAAACAACCTATATTCTATAAAGTTAGGAACATATTTTCATGTTTTAAACCAAACAAAGAAATAGCAAGAAATTAGATAAGTTGTACTCTTTCAGTTCTATAAGCTTTTCCTACAAACTTTTATTTATATAAATATAAGGAAATTAATTTTTTGACACTTTTCCTTTTCCTTTTTTCTTTATGGAAATCGAATCAAACATGCCCCAAAAGTAAACATGATATGACTATATCATTTTATTTATCTATTTAAACTCATGTGATATTTTCATTGATTTGTCAATAAATAAAATATATTAAATTCAAAATGGTCCCAAATTTAATAAGAACCTTATAGTTTATTTTCATGCATTTTTTGAATAAAACAAACAAGTAGAATTGGACTTGTATGGAAACTTCCCCTAATTTGTTAGTCAAATCTGTTTGTATTCGGCTCAAGTGGTTTACAAAACTCAGGTACTTCAACTGCATTATTGATAC